TATTTGGGCAACGGATAGCCACGGGAATTCTAGGGTCCGGCGGTAGGTGTTTCGAAAAGAGAGAGAGTCAGGTTCTAATAACTTAAATATACTAAAATATATTTACAACTTAATACTACATCTATACCTATTACTAACTATTACTAACTTACAACTATTCTTAGATTTCTAATGCCGTTCTGACGGCGGTTCGACTGTGTGATCTGGCGCATTAGCGCTTCGGATAATAATTACTGTTTCGCGGTGACGCGGGACGGTTCGCCGAATTAATTGATACGGTTGACGGCGGTGCGGTAATATCTTTCGGTAATCGGTACGGTGTGTTCTCGCGCGGTCTGGTTCGTTCGGAGCCGGCGCGGTACGGCGGCACGATGCGGGCGGCGCAGGCGCGGTGCGCGTGGTGTCGGCTCGGTGCGTGCGGCGCCGGCGCGGTGCGATGTCGTCTTGCCGGTGACGACTGACGACTCGCATGTACGGTTTAGGCCGGGTGTTGTGTGTACGAGCCACTCAACACGTGGCGAGGATTTCGGGCTTCGCTCAGCTCGCTTTAGCCCTCGGATTGGATGGCCACTCAAATCGTGGCACAGTTTCGAGTGGCGACCGCGGACCGGTACGGACGTGATCGTGCAGTCTTGCGTTAGTGATTTGAGATTTGAGGTTGTGAAAAAGAGATTTTCACTAGTAGATCCCTGCCGTTGACGCGTAGAGAAGTGCACACGGTTTGGTACTCATATACGAAGAATAGTAGTGGGTGCGCGAAATGCAGGAGGCTGCGGCCTCTTGCATAAGTAAAGACAGCGAGGGGAACTCTACTGACCCCCCTCCCCCTAACACCATCCTTTCAGCATGGGATGCTAATCCTAAATCCTCTACCCTTCCCCTTGTCACTCCCTGCGACGCAGGGTCTTCTGGTGACTTGGAGGACATCACGCTACAGGGCACCATCAACAGACTTTCGGCCTCGCTGGGCAAAAAAGCTAAGGGCAGCGGAATAAGCTCAGGCATAGCTCGGGCCAAAATCGCACGCAAACTATCGCTCGCTGGACTCGCTCTCTCCCATGCGGGAGACGGCAATACCATTCTCCCAACGGAAGGCAACTTAGACGCGATATTCAAAGACTTCCGCAAATTAAAGGAATCCAACCAGCGCTCGGAGGCGAATTTGATGCAAAAGAGTCCCAATATTACGCCATTTCTGGATCTCAACAGTAGGGGCAACATGGTAAACGAAAAGAACGTGGAACACGCAAAGCACACAGACGCGGTCCCCCCCCGTGTAGGGGATCTTCCAGAAGGGGTAGCCAATCAAACAACGTTTAATCAGAAGGACGAATCAAAGAGCGACAGGATTACAGCCAACAAAGAAAACTCTACAGATGCAGACTTAGCAATGGAATACACCATGGACAGCGATCCGAAGGTTAACAAGCCCACAAATAATATAGTCAATGTCGCTAAACACCCCAAAGCCGCACAAGGTAAGACACTCGAAACTATTACTCCTGCAAATGCAGCATCGGATAAATACACGAGTTTAGATTGTCCCCCGTATGTGGTACACATCAAGGATACCAACCCTGTACCCTTACATCCTATACATATTAGTAAAATCGTGTCGGCCATTTTCCCCAAAGGTATGGGGGAAGTTACGAAAATAGCTAAAGGACAAGTCGCCATTGTCATGAACTCGACACTCGATGCTAACAAACTTGTCGGTAACGCAATTCTCACCAACAAGGGCTTACACGCATTCGTACCTAAGTACAAATTGATGAGAATAGGAACGGTCAGGGGCATACCTCAAGACTTAGACACTCAGACGATTTCGCAAAACATCAAATCCAGTTCCAGAATTCGGGACATCAACAGATTAAATCGAAGAGTTAAAACAGACCAAGGATATACATATGAACCATCTCGATCACTCTCGATCCAATTTGCAGGCCAAGCACTTCCAAACCATGTGTACATATACAATATAAAATACGCAGTATTCCCTTTCATCCCCAAAGTTAAAATATGCTATTCTTGTTATAGAGTGGGACATATTAGCAATTCATGCAAAAGCAAAGCCAGATGTATTTACTGTGGAGAAGATAAGCACGAGGACAAGGACTACGTGTGCGCGTTGAGCACTGGAGACCACACATGCCTCAATTGCAAGGGAAATCATCTCCCTACATCGCACGAATGTCCTACGGTGATTTCATTTAAAAAAGCTCAAGCATTGGCAGCCACTGAAAACATCTCCATGCAGGAAGCCAGAAGAAGGATTATCTCCATGGACAACACCCAGTACGTAAAAGAAGACCCCAGATATGATTTCCGAAACTTCCCCACCCTCAATTACAAACCTGCAACTCCCAGTCCACTGATGCCATCCCACTTCCAGGAGAAAACTTCCAGTCCCTCCTCCTACGCTGTATCCTCCCTCTCCAACAAACGTAGCTACAGTTATGCCAACGCCGCGGCATTGACACCGGTCTTTAAATCAACTGAAACCTCCCAGCCCCTTACCTCTACCCCCTCTCCTATCAATACCGGGCTCTCTCTTTTCCCCTCTTTGCCTTCATTTCCATCCAACATCAGGGTGCAGAGGAGCGACTTTCGCTCGCGTAGAGATGTAGCCCGTACGGCTCACTTCTCCAAGGAACACTCTGAACTCTTAATCAGCCCTAACGGAAGATATCCAAATTCACCAACTCCTGGCTCCCCGGAACCTTCCCCTGCTATAGCTGCTACTAACGAGCTTCAAATCCAAGACACATTGAGATGGATTATCAACCAACTCAACAATTTACACGAACTCATCTTCCCATTACGAAGAACTGCAGAGCAGAATCACGCCACGAACAACTACACCATACCTGCCGACATGCAACTGCACTATAAAACTCCCGGGCAAGGGAATCCGACTCTTACTAGTCAAATTCAACTCAACAAATAAAAAAGCAGGAATCAGGATCACACAGTGGAACTGCAGAGGACTGCAAAGCAGATCCACGGAATTATACGCTTTAATGGACCAAACAGACATATTCTGCTTGCAGGAAACTCTCCTTAAAAACTCAAACTATTTTCATCTACCTGGCTTTTCGGCCTTTAGGGGCGACATCACCGCTCCTGGTGCCAGAGGCATAGCAATTCTTATACGCAACTCCTTCCAATTTAATCCTCGATCGTTAGATATCCCCTTACATCCTACTTGCGAAATCCAACTACTGGATATTAAAATCAAACAAAGCACGATTACATTGGTTAATTTTTACAGACACTCCAACACGGACACTCCTAGAGACTTCTTACGTAAATTCTTCGACACGCTAGCACCCCTTGGAAATATCCTCTTGGTTGGAGACTTTAACGCCCACCATCCGGCATGGGGCGGGATGGGCGTCCGCATTGACTGCATGGGCACTCGGCTGTTGGACTCCTTCGAGGAGGCGGGACTCACGGTGCTAAATACTTCAGGAGATACCTTTATGAGCTTGTCTCACGGAACTTTCTCGGGAATCGACATAGCCTTGGCTTCAGCGGCACTCGCTCCACTATGCTCCGTCAGGATTGACAGTGATCTCAGAGGCAGCGATCACTTTCCCCTCTTCACTTCCATTGGTCAACTGGAACCTTCAAGGAACTGTTTTAAATACAAGATCAAACTAAGTGCGGCGGAATCTAGAGAACTCCGGCATATGCTGGAAAGGGAGCAAAGCGTTTTCTCGGAAGCGCTTCCTGCTGACCCAATAGAGGCGTACAACTATATGGTTAGCTTCGTCTTAGAGAGAATAAGAAGCATCGTGGGAGATAAGAGGTCTTCCAAAGGATCTTCGACTCGGACAAACAGACCAGAACACGTTCCTGCTCTCTGGTGGAGCGAGGAGTGCGACGAGAAATGCCGGGACAGAAAGGCGGCTCTTCTTCATTTTAGGAAATCACCATCAGCATCAAGTCTTAACGATTATAGGAAAACTGCGGAGGAGTGTGCCAAGACTCTTCGAAGATACAAGAGCAAGGGATGGAAGGAATTATGCACTTCATTCACGGGAAAAACTCCCTCTGCTGAAGTCTGGAAACTCGTTAAAGCATATAAAAAAAGACGACTTTTATTAACAAACGGCACGGAGGAACAGACAGTACCCTTTGAGGATCAGGTAAATCTAGCGCAGGATAAACTATGTCCCCCTAGCTGTGAATTTCAAATCAATATGGACTCCTATCTGCGTGAATGCAAATTGCGTTCAGGAGGTATCACCAGAGAAGAGCTGGGCAGTCCATTAACCATTGAGGAACTCAATGGGGCTATGTCTCATTTTAAAGGTAGGAAATCGGCACCAGGTGAGGATCAACTCGACTTCAGAATCCTGAGCACCTTCCCGCCCCTCATGATTAAACATATGCTGGGAATCTTCAATACTTTCCTCAAAACTGGCATAACTCCTCCTGCGTGGAGGCGCTCGCTGGTTATCCTCATCCCCAAACCTAACGGCACCGGACTTAGGCCTATAGCGCTGCTTCCGTGTTTACTCAAGGTGTTCGAA